TTGCCAGTTTCCATGCTTTAGGAAAGTAATTGAGATTAAGGCATTCGTTTAGAATGCGAGTAAATGTCGCGACGACGTTGTCCGGAAGGTTTTTGAGGACTTTATTACTAATATCATCGTAACCAGAGGCTTTTCTGCTGACTGAGCGGGCAATGAAAAATTTTACGTCGTCTGTGGAGACAGGTGTTATTGTATCATTCGGAGGAATAGGCAGCCTACAGATTTCTCTATAGCGCCTGTCTACGTCCTCTTCATGAACAATATCATCATCAGGGTGTTCATTAGGCGAAAATTGTGATTGAAGTGAGTCAGCAAAAGCACTTGCTTTTTCTTCATTAGTATACACCAGACCAGCTCTACCATGAATGGGGGGAATCTGCCTATTTTTCTTATTTAAAAGAGAACGAATTATTTTCCATAGAGAATTATCCTCAGGGGACAAGTCAGCTAATAAATTACCCCATTTCTCGTTTTTGTGTTCCTTAATTAAACTTTTAATTAAGTTCGTTAGTCTGTTACATTCAAGTTTAATATTTGGGTCTCTAGTCCTTATTGCCAGCCTTTTAAGTCGATTTCTCAACTTAATTTGCTGGCGTATGTGATGTGGTAGTGAGTATGGGTTATTTTGTTTGGTAGTTATAGAAATTTGAGTGCTATTTAAACAGTCATTTACTTCTTGAGTAAACGTGTTAATAGCACTGTCAATGTCCAGAGTCGTGTTTAACATGACTGGTGGGATATGATTGGCTTCAAGATGTGATTTGAATTGCGGATAGTTGTTAAAGGAAAAAGTATGGTGAGTATTTACATCTGGGACCTGACCACCAACTTTAAGACTAATTGGAGTGTGGTCGGAGCTGAGATCGTTAATATTGCCAATACCAATGTTATAAGAGACATTTTTGGATAGAGCAAGGTCTAGAATGTCAGGGGTAATATTATGAAAATGAGTTGGCTCTAAGGGAGCATGAACTGAGATGAAATTTTCCTGGGTGAATTGAAGTAGAAAAGTGCCTGCTGTATTATTAGCGCGACACCCCCAGGCTCTGTTTTTGCAGTTTAAATCTCCTGCAACTAAGGTCGGAGCATCAGAACCGAAGAAGAGGTTCATATCATCACGGGTTAAGCGTTTAGAAGGAGGCTTATAAACGCTGAAAATATTAAGCGGGCCATCTGCAAGGTGGACTACCACACCAGTGTATTCCACATTGTCAGAGGCAGGAGTGGCAATAGTATCATGAGGAATATTGTTTTTAACGAAAATGGCAGTACCACCACCAGCACGGTTAGGTCTGTCATTTCTGTATATAGTATAGTTTTGTATGTTGTAAATTGTATGTGGTCTAAGCATAGTCTCCTGGACTAATGCTATGTCAACATTATCCTCATGTAAGAAGGATGCAAACTCATATCTTTTGGGAAAGATAGAGTTTGCATTCCAAGAGATTATGTAAAGTCGTGTCGGTCTAGATGTATCACCCATTATCTAGTTTAGTTGTGTTAAAAGTTTGAGGCTAGGATGATTATTAATCATCTCAGCCAGTCTGTTCAGTTTATTTGAAATCTCTTGCTCTGAAAGAGTCAAGAGACTCAAAATGGGGTTGTTAGTCAAGTTTTGTTGTTGTTGAGGTGGTTTAGTATTTGTACTGTTATTGATATTGTCTGTATTCAATTTCATTTTTTGAGCGTAGCTCACAGATGGGGTTGTAGTTTTAAATAAAGCTGCTGTGTCCCTTGGGGGAGAAGTGCTTTGAGCTGGTGTTGGTTTGGGGGTGGAAGGGACATTTCTGTTTGGACACTTCGGACAATTTCTATAATTGGCCGGATGTGCACCTCCACAATTGACGCATGTAGGGGGAGAGTTTATGTCTTTGGTACATTTAGTGTAGAAATGATTGCCAGCACACCGATGACATTTGGGCTTTGCATAGCAATTAGACAAAGTATGCCCAAAATGCTGACAATTGTGGCATTGTGGAACATACTTTTTATCCTTACTATGCTGGGCCTCAATGGTCACCGGCATGTAGCTAATCCTCTTGATGTCGTAAAATCTGTCAGCTTCATCTGGGAAGACCAAGAGTTTTATCAAAGAAGAGCCTTTAAGGCCACGACTTTGAGAAGGCTTGAATCTTTGGATCTCTTTAGGAGAAAAACCCAAAGATTCAAGCTCCTCCTGGACTTCACCAAGATCTTGATTTCTGTCAAGACCCTTGATCACCACATTTATCATTTTTTCGTCTGGAAGAAAATAAGAGTGGAATTCAATTTTTTGTTCTTTAAGAAATTTAGTGATGCCACGATGGTCATCAGGAGAGTCAGGAGTGATGGAAATGCCCAATCGGTCTTTTTTAGGGTCAGTAAAAAATAGTTTCATGTCCGTAAGTTTTGTTAAAAGTTGTTTAGGTCTCAAAATATTCCTTAAAATAATTGGAACGGTTTTTTTTAGGGGGATTGCTTTTTGTGGGAATGGTTTCTGTAGTCTGTGAGCTATCGTCATGTTTGTTCTTTAGATGAGTCATTAATTTTTTGTTAGTACTGTGAGGAAAGTTGAGCGAAACAGTATGTTTTGGTTTTTTAAGTGGAGGAAAATCAACGTCAGAGACGTCCATTTTCTCCTGGGAAATGACATCTTCATCATCAAATACGGGGCGGTCAATTTGAATGTCCATGTCATGGTCTGTATCTGATGGAGTCGGTACGTCCTTGTCAATTTTACATGATTTATTTTTATTAGTTTTTGTCGTTTTCGTCTTTGATAAATTATTACTCCTAACTTCCATTAGAATTGTATCTAATGAGGCTTGTAAAGTCTGTAATTGTTCTTTTAGCATTTTATTCTCTTTTTCTAAGAGCTCATACCTCCTTTCTAGTGACCGAAATGTTGATAAAGGAACTAGGGTGTTTTGTGTGCTTTGTGATGTCGCAGCTTTCAACTCACCCTTCTGCATTTCATTTTCGGTTTCAGGATATTGGGAATTGGAATCAGGAATTTTTTCAGGACCAGGATCAAAAATAGGGGTTTTCGGCATCTTGCCAATAACGCAGGAAGCCAGCTTTTTCTTCCGCAACAAAAGGTTATTTTTCTTAGCTGAAGACTTGTGATAAAATATATCTGGGCGATTTGGCATGCAAATTGCAGGGCTTTAGCACAGAGCAAAATTACGTCTATAAGATGCTATTTACCATCAAATTTGAAATCTGATGTTTCGTCTTTGAGCCACCATCATCAACTTGAAAATTAAGGTCCGTATTCAAAACAAAATGAAGTTGGTGATGGTGGCCCAAAGACGAAACGTCAGATTTTAAATTTGATGATAGTATCTGGTAGAGAAGAAAAAGTGGCAACGATGAAGTGACATTTATTTTCGAAATATTTCTCCAAATAAGCTCAGAAAAAAATAAAATCGATTTTACAAAATTTCGGTTTTTTCCGGATATCTCCGGTAGCTCTCAGAATTTTTAAAACATCAAAGCGCCATTTTAAAGAGCACAACATAGCGCAATTTTTCTGAAATTTAAGCGACGTCGTATCTCTTAGCGTTTCTGAGATCCGATACTGGTCCTCCTTATCTTGGACACATTGTATATCAACTGGCTCAATTTTAAATGATTTTTTAATTGAAGTGGGGCTTTCTAAAGTGTGTTTTTAATTTTTGTGTGTCATAGGAAGTTCACAAAAATCTTGTTCTCGATTCTATCATTTGGCGAATATTCCATTTTTTCACAGAGGGGAGTCCAGCAGGGGGACCCACTAGGTCCAGCATTATTTTGTCTTGTTTTACATCCAATCATTCAAAATCTTCAATCAGAAATTAATCTTTGGTACCTAGATGACGGTGTTTTAGGAGGAGATTTAAATTCGGTTTTAGAAGATTTTGAAAAATTGTCTGAAACTTGTTCGCAAGTTGGTTTGGTTATTAATTTCAATAAATGTGAATAATCTCTTCTTTCAAATTTTAAAACATGTGATTTATTTTTTCAGAACGTACAAAACCAAAATTGTCAGAAAATATGAAAAATCAATATTGAAAATTTTACTCTTCTGGGAAGTCCTTTTTATAATTCTCAAATTGAACCCTTTTTGAAAATTAAATATTGTCAAATAAATAAAATTGCAGCGAAACTCTACTCAATAAATTCTCATGTAGCTTACTACTTTTCCGGCATTCTTTTTCGATTCCCAGAGTTACATATCTTTTAAGATGTGCCCCTAGTTGGAGAGCTCCTACGTTGCTTAAAAATTTTGATAAGATGTCGAAAGCGTCATTAGAGAAGATAATAAACTGCACAATCGACGATGGTGCATGGACCCAAAGTTCACTACCAGTTGATTTAGGAGGATTGGGAATAAGAAACACAACAAATTTATGTTTTTCGGCTTTTCTTGGAAGCTGCAATGATGTTTCTTCTTTACTAAATCTAATTTTACCTCCATATATCCTTTCTTCTGAGGATTTAGCATATAATAAAGCGTCTGTTTCTTACAAAAACCTTGGAAACTTTTCTGGAATATGCAACAAACATCACCAAAAAAATTTGGATTCAAACATAATTTGCAAAACTTTTTTAGGCAGTTTTCAAAATATGCTTACTTTTAAACCCCAATATTTCGAAAACTAATTGTACAATTTAAGATTTTTTTTATAAGACTGTAAAGGGAAAGCAACCAGCTATCCAACGATGTACAAAACAAAGAAGGTTTTTATTTGAAAGAAATAGGATAGCTACCTTCTAAGGGGGGATGCGGGATGACTCAAAAAATGCTTCATTTTGGTTCCCCCTCTAATCCCCCGATACGTATTTCAGATCTTCCTGATAGTATTTTTTGTCTGAGAGATATTCTCGATTCCTACTTTTATCACCCTGTGTGTCCGACGTGGCCTGAATGCAAATATCATTGTCGGGCAGTTATGCCCGACGTAGCATGCAATAATGTATTAATAGTTATTTATTATACAAGACGGTAAAAAGATGCTTTTTTACCATCGTGTGTAATATTCTATTTTATTCTTGAGCAACTTTTTATTTATTACACAATTACTAAAATCATAAACTAAAATGTGCTAAAATTTTACATAGATTATGACAAGTTGACAAAGTACCTAACAAACTGACACATTTCTGGTGTTGTCAATCATGCAACATAACCAGATTTCTGTCAAAAACACTATAATTATTTCAAAAGATTTGAACAAGTGGGTAAAATTGACGTATGAGTGGGTAAAATTGACATATGAGTGGGTAAAAATTGTTCGATTTCACTACTTCGAATAAAGTGTTACTTTAACAACGAGTTTTGAGTCGATTAAATGATAGTTTACCATTCGCGATAGAATAATGTATTTTTATTGTTTTAAAGGTGTTCGTTCAGAAAGTGGTACCAGATGCTGACCAATTATTTGTCAGGCTGGCAAGTAACGGAAAAAGGGTATGTACGATAAAAGCTGTAGATAACAGTACCGTTAGCGCATTTTGCGTGCACGAATGCGAAGGCTCCAGTCGTATGGGTTCCAGACCACGTAGGTTCATATTTACTGGCCACTCTAATGGTTCCATACAAATGTGGGACCTCACTACTGCTCTGGATCTCTGTTATAAGACTGATGTTGGTAAGAAATTATACCCCGCCCTATTAACATAATATACATTAATATTTTTAAATCCGTAGTAAAAACTGATGGTGGTCCTTCATCATCTGAACTACTCCGTATGCTGGATCAGTGCGATATCAGCAACAGTCTTTGTTCCACTCCCTGTATGTCGCCTTGTCCGACTCTAGCGGCAGCTGCTCGTCTGAAAGCCAGCAATGTGGCCTTTTTGAATCAGCAATTGCACCACGACAGCGACCGGAGCAGCAGTTCGACCTGATGGGAGCGAAAACTTGATTTTATGTGCAATGACGGTAACGATGATAATTGTATTATTGAGGATTTGTTGAATGGTTTGTTGGCGTTATCAAGAGGAATTTTTAAATTATAAACACATTTATTTAGTTGTTGTTTTGTGTTGCTACACCTATTTAAATATAGATAAGTACTGCAACAACAACAAACAATATTTATATTTTGTTACAGTTATTATTGTTAGAAATTATTTAATCTTATTTTTGGTATTTAAAATAAATAAAATTGATTATATTATGTTTGTTATTGCCTTAATTTCATGGAAAGTAAAAAAAAAAACAAAGGACTAATGCAAGTTATTTTTATTATCACATTTAAAATTGTTAACAATAAGATACCAGTAAAAGGATCAGTCTTTTTTTTTCAAATATCCTAATGATATTTTGAGGATCCTGCTTATTTATTAGGATTTCCTAAAAATTTTTTGGCAAGGATACTGATATGAGACACTAGTTAAAGAATGATCATACTCTATAAGATTATCAATATACATATAATACACTGACTCTAATTTGGAGAATTTACCATCCCTTGTCATTTAAAAGCTTAATGTTTTCCAACAATTCAAAAATGTTTATTAGTTTTAAATAATACCTATTGAATCTACAAAATTTCAGTAGACCATATAAGTAAAGCCCTTATACATTATACCAAGTAGGCGAATGGTAATACCATGCAGGCTCAGTGAGAGGCTTCAATAAAAAGCACCAAGCGATAAAGCCCAAAACAAATAAGCCGGAAATGATTATTTTCTTGCTTTTTTTGTAAGTGGTCACTTCCATAATATCGGGAAAACCCATGTGATTACAGAACGCGTGCATTATGAAAATTGATAGAAAATGCCCCGTTCTGTAGAAAATGTAGGCTGAATATGTGCCAAAGATCGTCGTGTAAGTGAATTGAAAACCTAAAAAAAAAAAATAAGTTATTGTTCGTTGTCAGGGTTTATAAAGCAGATTCTTACAGGATATTTTTAAAGCTGTTTTAACATCCATTCCAAATTTCAATCTTTCTTGCATATGATGAAAATGTGCTGCAAAAAAAATATTAATGTGTAAATTCGATTATTAATTTGAGGTTCTTACCAACACCAAAAAATAAAGGATTAACCAGCACAGCCGTAACAGGTGGTAAGCATTGCAACAATAAAGGCAACATACAGCTTCTGTAAGTAAACTCTTCGGAAAACGGTGCCACAATGTGATTGCGGATCCATATAAGATTTGTCAAGTTCCTGTACCAATAAGACTCTTCTGTGTACAGTTTGTATAATCCGCTATACAGTTCCATCGATATGGGACCCAGGAACAGGATCATCGTCAGAAATAAGGGCATGAAGATTGCTTGGAGCAGGCCTTTGGTTCTTAAGCCTAGGATTTCTAGAAGTGAGGCCTTAAAAAAATATTCTTAATTGTTTCAATTTTAGGTGTTTTTGAAGTAGGTACCTCTTCCAAAATCGACTTGTTCAATCCAGCATAAAGGAAACATGGTGCAATAAAAAGCATAAAAAATACACTTGTGAACCGTTTCTTGATTGTCGACGGATGATCCCTGAAATTAAATAGATTTTTTAGTCAGAGTGGAGCAGGATATCCTCATTTAAATAATTTAAAAAGCCAAAAATAAATGCACATTATGCTGTAATATCTGGCGATTAGCATAAAATTTATCACATTCAAAAATAGTTTTAAAGTATATTTATTATATTGAAGAGAATAGGGGGTTCAGAACGCAACCCTGTCTTTTCATAGGAACCTCTCTATGTCAGTACATTTTCGACTTGTATCAAGACCCCTCATGTTTTTCAATAATACTTGTCTATAACTTCATTCTTTTTTTTTCTGATATTTTCTCATTCAGCTTTCAACTTTTTTAGGTCATATTAATGGAGAATAGGGTTAAACTTAAACTGAACTACAGAACAGATGGACAAGACTAATGCTGACATGTAAAGGTTAAGAATAAAATAATATAACAATGTAAAGGTAAAAATGTCTCCTGATCCATTTTTGAATAAAATCTCTGTAGGTTTTTTTGTCGAAGGTATAAGATGTTTGTACAACTTCCTCAGTAGTTGTAATGTAGATTTGTTTCCAGGTATATTGGATTGTTCATTTATTCACTCTTGCAGATAGAATTTTCTCTCTTAAATCTTGAAACAGTGGATTATTAACCATTTTTTGTCTGGAGTTCAACTTTTTCAACCACAAAAGTTCTTATTTGCTTTTTCTGACATACTGGGCAACGATTGCATGATCGCGTTGGTAGTGATGACCCCTTTGTAGATCTTCATGAATGATTGAACATATTAACGTTCATGTGGAGAGTATTTCAAGTGATCTTACTGAATGAAGAACTTCAACAAGTACTTCCAATATTCACTGGCAGTTGATTAAAGTAAAGTTGATGATGTGCTATCAGAACCAAGAAAAAGTAAATGGAAATCTGGAATATTCAACTTGAAACGCGTCATCACGTAGGGATTTTGATTTTCGAAAGGCAACATCTAAATTGATACTTTCAAAAGTTGTTTGATTATTTTTGTACCAGGACAAGTTGATAACATCAGTGGCGCACCCAGGGGGAGGGCCATCGGTCCAAGCCCCCCCCCCACCCAGGCCGCCCGTCCAAAACTGTATTTTTACGTATAAAAATGTAGCAACATCAAGGCGTAGCACCCTGACACCTCAATTTTTTTTTTTAGATTTTTAGTCACAAGCCACAACCTATGTAAGCCCCCTCCCCCTCCCGAACATATTTTCTGGGTGCGCCTCTGGATACTATTCTTTTTATATCTCCTAATGGATATGGCAAATTTTTACAGCGAATCCAACGTTACAAACTAATTGCACCAAGATGACAAAGAATATCGTATAAAATGGTACAGATTTTTATTGTTATATATTTTAATGGTAGTATAGAAGCGAATATAGAAGCAGATATTCTTGAAAACAATACCTGGGTTCTATATTTTCTTTGCCAAATTTGTAACATGGCTGTTAAGTACTTTATCATCTTATACATGTGTGATTTATATTGCTACAAGGTATTTATTGTTGTCTTCGATTATTTATAGTATTCCATAATGAAACAGTGATTCTAATAGTGCCTTTATAGAAACTTATCAGTAATTATCGATTTAGGAATTCTCTTAATAAATAAAATTTGCGAATGAGAAATATGGTCTTTTTGCATAATACCTTTGTCAGGTCTAAAAATACAGCAAGAACCTTTCCACCTTTCTCCATTTTGTTATATCCTTTATTAAATACATAGCATCTGATGTGCCTAAATTTTCGATAAATTCAAATAAACTGCTGGACAAATAAAGCGGAACAAGCGAATTTTTAGGTTAACTTCAAATTCCAATATAACGCGAACTAAAAAATATACCAATAAGCGGTTTGCGAAAATTAACTTCTAAATTACTCATATCACTCATTATTATCTTTTTTAGTTCGCGTAATATTGGAATCTAAAGTTAAACTTAAAATTCGCTTGTTCCGCTTCATTTGTCCAGCAGTTTAGGTATAGCTAGTGAGCCCGTTTTACAATAGGAAAAAACGGGTGTCCCACTTTTTGTGCCCACGACTGTATATAGGTATTTTTGATAAAATAAACGTCTTTATCTATCCGTGCTGTTAAAGTATCATTTAATCTATCCTTGCGGTTAAATTACTACTTTATCTACTATTTGTAGATTAAAGGCTATTTTACCAGTAGCTATGGAAAAAAATCGTATTTTCGTTATCTAGAATTGAATTTCATGTGTAGTATTTTTAATTTTTTCATTACATATTTTGTAAAAGACCCCAGCACACCTCTTATGGGTTTGTGGTTTTCTGGCAAACCCCATGAATTTTTTATATGTGGTATACATTGACTTCCTGATAAGAGATTCTTATTGTCCCAACCGAGTAGTTTTCGAGATACAGGAAATTTAATGTCCAAGAAATCTATAAATGGATGCAATTACCTGTCACCTGAAAATGTACCAGGATGGACAGGGATCTTCAAGTAGTTCAGGTGACAGGTAGATGTAAATTCATAGTCTATATAGGTATACATTTCTTGGACATCTAACTCTGTAGGTATCTCAAAAACTAGTCATAGGATTAGTTCGGGCCCATGAGAACTTTTTATCAGGAAGTCAAGGTCTTATACATAACAAAATTTCATTGAGTTTGGCAGAAAACCAAATACCCATAAGAGACGTGTCTTTTTTTCTTATATCACTAGTGCTAAAGTAATCTTAATTTTTATAAAAATAATTTTTTGTTATTTTTGTAATTCTATTTAGTGGATTTCTATAACTTTTATATTCTGTAATTTTTTCAGTAGCGGAAAGCGGAAATTAGTTTGAGACGTTTAAAAAACGTATCCGATCGGACATCTGAACGTTTTAGAAACGTCAGTTAAAGTACTAACTGAGAATGTCCAATTGAAGTTTTTCTCTAGTGCAAATGTCATAACTTCAAACGTCATATAAACCTCGAAAATTAACGTTTCAAAAACGCCTTAAGACGAAGGTTTTAAAGAAATTATTGAAAAAAGACGTTTTTCGAACGTCCACTCTTCCACCGGCGTCTAACGAGCTGCGAGTTCTGTGAGCTAGTTTTGAATTACCTACTTTCAGAAGCTGTGCTTTCAGTACCTCTATCCTCGCTGGTTGTCGTTCATACTTTGGGCCAAAACGTTTTTTATAGGTTTTTAAAGGTGGTTTAAAATACATTCACAATACAAACGTTTTCAATGTTTTTCTTGAAAACGACCAACATAAAACGTCTGTTTTATGATGTTTACCAAATCATACTTTATAGTAGTAAAAGGCTTAAAAAAAGGTTTTTAAAATTATTTGTCAAAACGTTAAAAAATGCCCTTTTACTTCATACAGGCACCTTTAACGAACCTATAGAAACCGTTATTGTTTCTAGCGGAGGTTTGAAAAAAAACTTAAATCAAATTTCTAATAAAAAAACATCTAAGGGGTAAACCGCTAATGTATAATGTATTCCAGTGTACAATTAAGCCTCATGTAATCCCATGTATTCTTATTTTCTCATGTAATACAATGTATTCTACGTATTCATATGTATAGCTTTGTATTCTCGTGTCTTCTTATGTATTGAGTATATTCCTTCAAAGTTCTATTTTAAGTTGTGATTATCTGCTCAAGTCAAACATACATCCAGTATTACCAACTTATCCCTTTAGGGGCCCGTTCATCCTAAATTATGCCCCTCAAATTTACGTCCTAGCCTAGCTTGACCTTTTTTATTAATAATATACATTGTACATATTATCCATTCACAATCCGATATCCACAGGTACAGGTAAAACTTATCACCTTTCAATGCTATTTGATAGGGAAAGGTGATAAATTTACCTGTACCTGTGGACATCGGATTGTGAATAGGATATATAAGTACATTTTCTTTTATGATATGGCCTCGGATATGACCAGAAAAATAATAAAAAATTGCATGTATTTCTATGTATTCTTATGTATTCTCATGTATTGAATTCCTATGTGTTTTCGTGACTCCGATAGTCAATTATTGTATTCTCTTGTAGTCATATGTATTTCTATGTATGTATTCTCTTCTACTCCATGTATTTAGTATACAAATTTGTCTGGCGGTTTACCCCTCGAAAACATCCTTTTCATAACTTTCCAAAAAACACTCTTCAAAAATTTTTTTTACTTAGGCACAAAGACCAAGGGGCAAACCACCTAGGAATTCTTTGCCAAAACTGTGTGGAATTTAGAGAAATTTGTGAGGAATTTGAAGGAATTTATGCGAAATTAGAGGAATGTATGAGAAATTGGGGGAATTTATTAGTTTTAACACTGTGCGTAATAAAAATAGAGAAATACATTTCTTACGAGAGGTCGACACCTGCTGACAGTAGGTGTACAAATCAGTTCACAGTACCTATAATATCTAAAATAGCTCTACAGTACTGACAATACCGAAACAATACCAAAAATCCGTCAAAAATACTTAACAGTATCTATACAGTACTCACGATACCCGTTGACAATACTGACAATCCCTTGAAAGTACTAAAAGAATACATGTGAATGTGAATCGGGTTACGAGCTTTGGAAAGCTTTGCACCACATGACAGGCCACGTGGCAGACAGGTGAATTCATTCCATTGCGATTCATTCGCAAACTCGCGATAAAACAAGTGAAGTGTCATAGTGAAGTCAGTTTGAGCATCAGTTATTATCAGTTTCCAAAAAAAAGTTCCTGTAGCTGAGTTCGGAAAATAGCTCCAAGAGCAAAAAGATGGAAGTTTTGACAGTTGTCACGTGTTCAACTGATATACAGGGTCTACCGGAAACCAAATCGATCTAGGTATATGAAAAACTGTAAGTATGCAGATTTTTTTTTTAATTTAACAGTACACTAATGTCAATGGGGGCATACAGGGTGTCTCATTTAAAATAAACAAATTGACGTTTACTTCCGGTATAACCGGAAGTGCCACCATCTTGAAAATATTTTTGCCGGGTTGCCCCCATTGACTAGTATACTGTCAAATTTTCAAAAATGTTCTGCATATAGTTTTTCATGTATAGATCGATTTGGTTCCCGGTGGGCCACCCTATATAATCAATTTGAAGTCACGTGTAGGAAAATCCATCGCATTTGCGATACCATTTCCAAACTCGCCATGTGATAGAACAATAGGTTATATTCAAGCAATGAACTGTATAGGGACTATTTGACGTTTGGACGATTTTGTTATTTTGTAGCTTCCTGTACGTAAAGGGTGTCCCATTTTGGTTTTGCATAAGAGATACCTCTGCTATTGAAGTCAAAAAAATGCGGTTTTCGCGAACGTTGGCTACTTTTTTGTTAAACGAAAGATGGCGCCAACAGAATTGTCATCGCTATTTTTGTTTTTCAGATAGGTGTATTTGAAAATGTTGCATTTTGGGACACCCCCTGTATGTCGGTTCATCATAAGTGATTGAAAACGTGTTTTTCTCAGATATTTTTCCGTAGATTCCAGTGGCGTAGTCACTTTTTATCTAGTGATAGTTTCTGAATCATGAACCAAACATACGTTTTTTTTAAACGAGACACCCTATATATTATAAATTCATTGGATAGCTCTGCTTTTGCTGATTTCAATGATATAAAATTCGATAGGTTTATCCATAACAATTTTCGAACAAAATTTTTTTCATCTGTTTTTGTCATAAGAAACAATGTGTTAGAAAAAGACCTTTCTCATTTTCCTTACAGATGCAAAGTCCATTTCTGACGCATCGTTTCTTATGACCAAAATAGACATTCGTACCTAAAAGAGATAAAACCTATTGAACTTTATATCATTGAGATCAGCAAAAGCAGAGCTATCCAATAAGTTATTACTTAATATACAGGGTGGCTCGTTTGAAAAAAAGTATGTTTGTGTTTGGTTCATAATTTAAAAACTATCACTTTTAGAGAAAAACTCACTTCGCCACTGGAATCTACGTGAAAATCTCTATAATAGTCTATAAGAACCCGTTGTCACTTTTTCGATCACTTATGACAGAACTAAAATACAAGGGCGTTTGACACAAAAGTAGCAAACGTTCGCGAAAACCGCATTTTTCTAACTCCAATAGCGATTCAGATATCCCTTATGTTATAACCAAAATAGGACACCCTGTACATACATAGAGTTCTATTTTGTTGTTTCTAAATATTTTGATATTGGACATGTTTTGATACATACATATTTTTTCTCATTATGTTAATACTTGATTATTTGTTTCAATAATAGCTATTTATATAACAAGTACATAAAGTAAGGCTTTATTGTACGAATAATTTTATGGCCGAGCGAGCTTGCGAGCGAGGCTATTAAATAATGAGTCAATAAAGCCTGTTTATGTAAGCGTTATATACATGATTTTATGTACGATTATGACTGGTTTTTGTTAAAAATTAAAAAAATTTAATAAAAAAAGGTAAAATTTGCGTAGGTATACCTGTTTCACCTTGGCAGGTTGTCAAGACCTGTTTCACCTTGGCAGGTTGTCAGGACCTGTTTCAACTTGTCAGGTAGTCCAGGTAGGCAATAAAGTAGCACTTTATATTACTAGTAAAATAAAGTAGCACTTTATTTTACTAGTACAATAAAGTGCTACTTTATTGACGCAAAACTGTTCTATAAATAGCACTTTATTGGTCGATCGGGCATAAAAAAACTTGTTTTTAAATGTCATTTTTGTTGTTATGAGGGCATTTTTGGCAGACATTTAATAAGGTTGATTTATAGTCCATAGTCCATAAAGCTCAAAAAATATGTAGGTACCTACCTGATAAACAAGAACTGTCAGTAAAAGTAAACCATTAGCAGTGATTTTTCGAGTTTTGCACACAATTTACATTAAACAACAACAAAGATTAATTTATTCACAGTACTTAACATTGGCTCTGAAATTACATAAACAGTAATGACAGTACTTCTACAGTAGTTACAGTACTACAAATTGCTTTACAATACAGATCAAGTATTGCTGTTTCATTCACAGTACCCGACAGTACCAGTTAAATACTTACAATATGTTAACAATACTTGACAATTCCTACAATACCTACACTTCTCATCTAGAACGGCAAGGTTACAGTAGGTGTAAAAATTTCCAATCAAGTGTTCGACCCCTCGATTTCTTAACAAATTTTGGAGATTTTTAGGGAATTTGTAAAAGGCATTTGCAGGGAATTGGCGAGCAGTTTGGAAGAATTTGTGGGAAATTTGGAGGAATTTGCGGGAAGTTTGAGTAATTGTTTGCACAAGTTCGGAGGGGTGGTTTACCCTTTGTACAGGGTGTCCGAATTTGGATGGTTTTAATAGGAAACGTCAATTTCTGAGCAAGTTACAAAAAAATGAACCCCCCACTCCGAGGCTCAAATTTCTTGAAATTTTGATTAGTGCAAACCGCATTTTGATATCTTCAACCGTTTAGCCGCTAGAGGGCGATTCTCGATTTTGAGCAATACTGTTAAATCTTCAGAACTTTTTTGTTTATGAAAATAACTGACTTCCGTAAAAACTTCCTAGAAGCACTTTTTTGAGCAGAATTCAGTGACGTTTTCAATTTTTTTCTATTGGGCCTCGGTTTCAAAATATTGACCAAAATCCGAATTTTTTCAATGGGACACCCTATATATTAATAGCTCTTTAGAAAGCTCTGCTTTTGCTGATTTCAATGATACAAATTTCGATGGGTTTATCTCTAACAGTTTTTCAGAAAAAAGACTATTTTGGTTTTTGTCATAAGAAACAATGAGTTAGAAAGAGACCATTCTCATTTGCCTTACAAATATAAAGACCTTTTTTAACACATTATTTCTTATAGAAAAAAACGAAATAATTTTTTTTTCGAAAACTGTTAGAGATAAACCTATCGAAATTTATATCATTGAAATCCGTAAAAGCAGAGCTTTTAAGAAAGCTATTAATATATAGGGTGTCCCATTGAAAAAAATCGGATTTTGGTCAATATCTTGAAATCGAGGCCCAATAGAAAAAAACTGAAAACGTCACTGAATTCTGCTTGAAAAAGTGCTTCTAGGAAGTTTTTACGGAAATCAGTTATTCTTATAAACAAAAAAGTTATGAAGATTTCACAGTATTGCTCAAAATCGAGAATTGCCCTCTAGCGGCTAAACGGTTGAAAATATCAAAATGCGGTTTACAGTAATCAAAATTTCAAGAAATTTGAGCCTCGGAGTGGGGGGTTCATTTTTTTGTATCTCGCTCAGAAATTGACGTTTCCTATTGAAACCATCCAAATTCAGACACCCTGTACAAGACGTTTTAAAAACGTCATAGCAGTAGTTTTTAAAACTTTTTTTTCAGAACTTTTATGTTTATAGATGTTTTGTGAAACTATTAGGTACTTCAGTTGGTTTTAAAAGCCTTCTTGAACAAAAGTTTTATTCTAGTCATCATACCTTTTGTGCTATTAGGGATGTTCAAAGTTCAAATAACGGAAATATTATTCCTTCTCTAGTTGGCGCCAGATTTTTTTTTTCCTAAAAAATACATAGAGAGAGGCGTAATATCGTTAAGTTTCATAATGACATACATATTTCTTTTTCTATCATGGTAAATTATTCAAGATAATTAAGCTGAAAGATTTCTTAAAAACCTAAATTCCCTCCTAAAAAACAAATTAGAATATCCGTTATTCAAATTTAATTATTCTTATCGGTGGGTAGACAAGGGTAAGGAATCATTTAATCAAACAAAGCAAAAAATAAGCTCCAAGCTTCACCGATTTTAAAGGGTGCATCTATATTCCCAATAATTTAAATAAATTATTAAAATATTCGAAATCCATGCATTCTGCGCTCGCAGTTCCCACGGGATTCCCTTGACCCTTGCACTGTTGCCGCATTACCATAAACAAATTCCTAATTTCTACAGGAATTTATTTGATAATTAAGCCGGCGATATTTTAATACCTTCAACGAATTTACTTTATATTTTAATAATCGCTTGGGATTTGATAAAGATAATCAACGTATTGAATTAATGAAATTACAGAAATTCGAAATTATATTTTTAAATTTTCTGATAGGAGCGACAACATTGCAAAAAAAAAGAATGACAGAAGAGAAACAATGTTGCCATATTTAGAAAAGGCAATACTCATTGATTATTTTGTTAAACACTCGTATGGGCTTTAATGTGATAATTTGCCGAGCGCATTAATTAAAAGTTTGTTGGTTTAATTAAGATTAAGCTAGTGAGCGTATAAATAAATACATAACTCAAAAATAGAAAAATATTTCCATTCGTTGACAGATTCCCATACATTTTGGCAACGTCGCACGTAGACCCGTAATGACTTATGGGGCAAGTAAAGAGAGAGAAAAGAGACTGGGCAGGGGGCTGACCAAGAGAAAAGAGTGGAAGTGGAGTAGTATTGAGTAAATCGAAACTGAAAACTATTGCAGCAGTTCGTAAAAAATTCGATATTTACCTGTTATAGGGACTGTTCCAAATGTGCAAACTGGCCAAATAAGTAACAGACAATAAAAAGCAAATTCCCACTGAAATTAAACAATCCAAAATCGCCTTGAAGAAATCGAGGTCCATTTTTTGAGGTTCACTTTCGGTCACGTGCCCGGGAAAGGTGAAAGGTGATTGGTCGAGTGAGAGAGAGGTCGTCTTGCGCGTTTCAAATCCGTGTAGTGTCCTTCTTCTGCCCTGCTGGTTCAATTGATGTTGAAAATGGCTGCCCGTCCCAGTGTCAGTGTTTTCTTTGTTTAGGAGTTGGAAAATTCGGGGAAAAAGTGTTCGAAAGTGAACGCGAAAATGCCGAGTGCTTCCTTTACGGCCTCCAGGTCCTACGTGCGTCGTTCCCGCAGGAAAACGGGCGCAAATCGTATTCCGACACCTTCAAGAACGACAAATGGTGAGTAGTTCAATATGTAGGTACCGTAAAATTGGATTTTACCGCACCTCGACCCCAATTTTTTCCTTAACGCTTAACGAGACATATTTTCCGCCCCTCGGGGTCTTCGTGACTCGCCTTTGCAGCTTACGAAAGCCCCTTTTCGCCTTGATTTCATTGATTTTGAAGTTTTTTTTTTTTTCGGTGGGTGTTGTGCCACAAAGGACCTGCCTAGTTTATTTGTCAAAAGTTGGAAATGTCAGCCAACAGCAGTTTTATAAATAAAACATTTCTTAATTGCATCCTACATAAGAGCCCAGATAAGGCTTATATTTTGTAAACGCAGCCTTTTTCATATTATTTCATTATCTCACACCGGATGCAAGATTTCCAGTCAGTGACCATTTCTTATTTTGATTCGAGTCTTGTATCTGAACCCCTAATCATTGGAAAACATTGTGTTAATTATTTATTCATTAAATTAATGTGGTGGGTTACCAAAATCAAAATTTAAGGTCACAGGAAATGGAATGTTACATGTTGTTTGAATTAAAACACGTTTAAATTCGAATCGAAAAGCAAATGGGGTTAACTTCCTTGACTCTGTTTAAACTACAGTGGAAATTGGAGTTTAAAGGCCTAATTTTCTTCCTGGCTCCTTATATTTACTCATTGTTTACTTAAAAATAATAAATAACAAATAATCTTATCTCAGAATTTTAATAAGATCACAGATAGGAAAAAAACTGTCTTATGTCATTTCAAAGTAAATAGATAACAAACAAATAAGTACATAAGTAGTTACTCAAATCCTGAAGCATCACAAATCACTTTCAAATACTGTAAATGAGTAGGAGGCTGTTCTAACTGTTCTGGGTATTTTTGTCCATTAATTTTTAAGAAATTTAAGGGTTATTCTAGAGAAGCACATTATAATTTTAGGCAGAGTAATTTGCAAGGTAATTTGCCTCTGCCCATGCTTAAGTCTTCAGCAGCAAAAACTCTGTTGTATACAAGAGTGTTAGATCCTCAATAAGTTACCCGAGAAGTTATCTTATGAAATAAAAAGTTAGGTATTCATGAGCTTAAAAAATTTTGAGAGAATACATTTTATAGTCTCCAGGAATTCTACGATTCATCCTAATTAATTTTATTATTGTATACAGTGTAGCATGTCCAAGACTCGGTCCAAGATAAGGATGGGATTCCCCAATACATATTTTTGCAGCATTCAGAGTCATACTCAAGAGGCTTTTCCTAAATTATTTTAAAATAGGGCTAAAAGAAGCTGAAAAAATATTAAATATTCTAATATTTATATCTGCCTGTGCTTGGTATTCTGATGTTTAATTTGTATCACTATGATTGATACTCTGATTGATATTTTAACAATAATGTGTGTCTAGCATGATTATTGTAATAAGTAACCTTGTGTTTAAAGATTTCTTTTTTATTCTAATTTTTCCAACATTTACATTGCTTTTAAGAGTATTGGATGTGCTTGCATTGTTTTGACTTTTTAGCACCTTTGGATGATATTGTGATGATATCATTTTTATCTCTATTGTCATTTCTGTTATTATTTTTCTCTCGGTTTTTCTAGTCTGTACTTAATGGTTTAAATTAGCCTGAAATATATTATTTAATTGACTATATTATGCTTGATATTATGGGATATTTGGTATTTGACATGATTCAGGCAAATTAATATCATTATTAAGGGTGAATGCAGAGTATGGCAGGGTTGGCAAAAATTTTTCTCCACTTTGGTATTTGATGCATTTGAATTTCAGATGGATATTTCCATATAAGTGAATTAACACAAATACTTAACCATCCATACAAAAATTCACACATAAATCCTACCAAAATACCTACTTTCTCAAAGGAGGAAGAGAAATCTAAGATTTTTTCATCAACACAAAAAAAAAAAACAGATATTCCCACCAAATAATATTTTGAAAAGGACTTAGAAAATGACAAGGAAAGGCCAAATGAATTACCGTTTTTTAAAGATAGGTACTCCTTCTTCATCAAGAAATAAAATTAAATTCTGAAACCCATAACTAGCAGTTTCATCTGTGCCTAATTGGGGAATTACTTGGAATTTCCACATAATTTCCCCAAATCCCCAGCAATGCCCAACAATTCCCTAGCAGTACCCAATAATACCTAACCATTCTAGTAATTCCTAGTAATTCCCAGTGATACCAATCAATATTTCCTCAAAAATAGCCATAGCTATATTCATTAGGCTCTGTTCCAACTGACATGAGAATTGAGAATGGCAGCAAATATCCAGTTAAGTTCCTCGAAATTTTGTAGAGGGCGTGAGTGAACTTGGAGTGCTTTAAATTTTGGCGGCAAATGTCAATTGTTTCAAACTGATCAAATTGAGTAGAAGGAAAGATGACTACATATGAACAATGGACAATGGATAAGTTAAAATATTTTCCAAAGCAGTGGCCCTTAGAGAATATTTTTAAAAGTGTCAGCGTCAGCTTGTCTTGAAACCACACATCAAACTTAAGTTTTGAGGTTAAAATTACAATAGATTTTTTACGCGCCAAAATTTGAAGAGATCCAAGTACAGAAGCGCCCTCTTCAACTCAACTGTCAATATTACATGCCATTGTTCCAGAACCAGTAATTTCCAGTTGCCCAATTCAATAAGTTGAACGTTTATCCTACTTGACAAATGAATTGATTGACTGGAAATTACCGTTCTAAAACGGTTCTCATGTTGGTTGGAACCAAGCTTATACTAGTTCCAATTGATCATTTGAGAAAATCCAAGAGAAAATCGTCATAAAGAGGTATGAATCGGAAACATAGAGCTTAGCTAAACAATATAACATGGTCGATTCAGCTCGATAGAATGTTTGAAAAATTTGAATTTTCAAGTGTTAGGCCAAGGGGTTTTTCACCTATCAAAATTTGTATACCGATTAACAGTACTAACTGAGATATTTCCATGTATACACAGATATTTGTATGTACCTAATAACAAGTTATTGCCAACTATTTCCATGTATTAACAAAATATTTCCACTTATTGGCAGGTATTTCCCTAGTATTATCACCAGGTATTGCCATGCTATTGACAGACTAAAACCAAATATTTGTCTTGCCAGTATTCTAGGTATTGACATATCCACAGGTATTTACATGTTATTAATGGGTATCAACCAATGACATTAACATATATTGCCTAGATATCTATAGAGTTTTTAATACCTATTTAGAACTACCAGTCGTTCTAGTAACTAAACATATGTCGGTTCTTGAATACACAAATAAAATTAGGTTAGAAATTTCTTATTTGTATATGAAATTGACATATTAGCAATCGACGTTCGTTTTTGTTGGTAATTTTTTGTTTCATCTGATTCGTGATTGATAAATAAGGATCAAGTTATTCCCAGTGATACCAATCTATATCATCAGAGAACTGATATCCTGTATTCTTACTGAAAAGGCAAAAATACTTGGAGAGTTTTGGTTCTGTTGTCCCAACTTTGTTTTATTCAGGGAAAGGAACTAACCTAAAAATTTGAAAACTAAGTAATCAATGCTTTTCCGGCATATTAAAATTTTCTAATATGATTTTTTATTTGAAACTAGTGCTCTTTGAAGCTGATGCTGTGAACATTAACTTCCGAACAAAAAACTTCAATTCATACATATTTTGCAGACACCTGATGCCTTTTGTTTGGAACAAGACTTTTTTTATTTCCATGATATCCCCGCTGGTTTAAAACTGGCACGCTTTGTAACCTATGTATTGATGCACACCAATCTTTGCAATTCCCAAATAATTCCTCAATAATTCCCACAATTCCAGTCATTTCAACAATTCCTTGGCAATTCCCATTCCTACAATTCCTCAATAATCAAATCAAATCAAATCAAAATATGCTTTATTGTAAAAAGAGCAAAACATCTTGTCTACAAAGCAGAAAAATACAACAATAAGAAAAATACAATAAACACAATAATAAAATGTCAAAATTTAAATTCACAAACAACCGTAAGAGTAATAACAGTACAATAATAAAATAATAACTACAATATTAAAATGTCAAAAATTAAAATAACAAACAGCCGTAAGAATAGAAACAATTATTATAACTAAAAACAAAAATACATATGAAAACAGAACATTAAAATGAAAGTACTTGACAAAATCAATAGCTGCAAACCTTGCTACAAACAATCATCATAATACTCCTCCAGGCTGTAATAAGACCTTACCATCAATACACTCTTTACCCTCTTCCTGAACCGCGAGTATGGCAATTGTCTATATTCAGTTCCCAAATGGTTATACATCTTGAGGCCTTCATATATAATGGATTTTTTTGTAAGTGTCATTCTGGGAATAGGGAGACGTAGATTTTGGTTTGCATTTAATCTTGTGTTATGTAAATGGTCAGGGACCTCAAAACACGAGTTTTTGTGAATCAGACACACTGTTTCAAGAATAAATAAAGACACTACTGTCAATATCCCCTGTGTAATAAACAGTGGTCTGCAATGTTCCCTCACTCCCACCCGACACATAAATCGTATTGCTTTTTTCTGCAGAACAAATATTGAATTAAACAATTGTTGATTAGAAAAACCCCAAAATGTAATACTGTATCGAAGGTGCGATTCAAAAAGTGAAAAATACACCATCCTTGCCGTCGCGGTACCCAATTCGTTGGAAACTACTCTAATAGCAAAGCAACCAGAGGCCAGCCTAGAGCTCAATGATGAAATGTGTCTATTTAAGTTTGTTGTCTATGAAAAGGCCCAAGAACTTAGTGACTGGTTCATTTTCGATTTGTTGATCATTTATCATTCATTAAAATTAAAACCAAAAGTAAGTATACTAGTTTTAGCGATATTTAAGCTGAGAGAATTAGCATCACACCAACCTTTGATTTTTGGTAAATCTGTAGTTATCATCTCCCTGAGATTCTCGCCTGATTCCGCATGCCATAAAAGAGTGGTGTCGTCCGCGAAGAGAGTGAACT